TCGCACCTTCAGCGATACACCACTATATTAGCATATGCAAATCGCCTTTATAGAGCGAGATTATCCTTCTTTGTACGTACGATATTATCTTTAATCTCATTTTAATGAGGACTCAACAACAATAACCAAAAAAAAAGGAGGGAATCCTCAATAGCCGAGGCACTTGAAATTCTTTTAGGCAGGATTAGAGAAAATTAATCTATGAGACCTTATTAGCTACATTTCTGTGCGCCAGCAATACCGATTTTATTACTCATCAGGATCTCTACCAACCTATCCTCAAATTGAAATTCTTGTAGGCAGGATTAGAGTAATTTAATCTATGAGACCTTGGGCATGGTTAAATACATCAATCGAAAGAGTTTGACCTCCAGAGTCCAAAACTGTAATTATATCTCAAATCGATCAGGAGATGGCGGAGATAAGAGCAAAACGTTTGTACTTGAAAAAAAGAAGAAAAAAACTCAGAGCCGTCCAACGAGTCACTATGCAGAGGCTAAAAAGACAGGTATGATTTGATATCCCTGCTAACCTTATTTTGTTACCTTGGTTTATCCTGTGGTGATCACTGTAAAGATAGCCCGTTGTGTAACTTTGTGCTTTACAAAACAAACAGACAAAACGTTGCTTTATCAGCAGTAGTTGCGTTTAGTTCGTTTGTGTGTGTATGAGTAAATTCATAAATTAGTTAACAAATTTATATAATTTGCGAGTTCTATTCCACAGAAGTACCTGAACTTGGATTCTCAAAATCAAGTTGTCTCAAATGCATATGTTAAAAGTGAAGTATTTTAAAGTTTATACAAGGAGACTGGTTAAACTCTTGGCCTTTTGAAAGTGGCTCAACGGTAATCTCGTGGGTTTATAACATTAAAAATTGGGATACGTTACCTGCAGTGGGAAATGCAGTGTTGTAGCTTTGCGTTTAAAACAAACAATTATTACAAATTGGTTATTATATTTTTAAATATAAACCAGGCGAAAATACATCACCTGTCATTAAGATGTAAACTCCGTGTATGATTTATCTCATGTTTTTGATGATTGACCAACTTGCTATAGGTCACTGGTGATAGAAATGTATGTTTTTCAGTCCTGAATGAAGCTGTGTCTTAATATTAAGGAGCACAAGTCACACACATACAAACATAATATACATGATCCATGAGTGAGAACAAAGGAGAATATATGTTATAATATGTCATCTACACTACAGCTACTATATCCAGTGCCGACGAGGCCTTTCGCCTAATTCCAGGGATCATCAGGCCAACTGGGATGCGATAGACGTATGTATATATATATATCTAGATAATACATGGTGTCACATGTTTGAAATACAAGTCACATATATACTTAGCTAGTATACTATGTGACAGTAGAGTGCTCAGGTGGCAAGTGGCATACCTACACATAACTAATGTATGGTGGTGAGGCTAGTAAGTGATGTTAACACTCTCAGGAACACAAGTCACATACATACATACATGCAAAAATAACATATCGGATCACTACGCGTAGGAAGACAAGTCACAAACACCTACGTGTATCGAATACATGGTGTCACTTCTGTGAGGGCACGAATTATACACACAAAAAAACAATATTCGGTCTTCCTACTGTTAGGAACACATTTATCACTAGTTTCGAGTGAAAAGTCACTCATAGGAAAGCTCTATGCAGTGGTGTTTCTACTCGTGTGTTCTTATTTCCCGGTTTTCAATCACAAGTTGCACTCACACTGCATAGTCTCCTTCTTCAAATCCTATATACATACAAAAGTAAATGATGAAGTGAGTTGAGATGACTTGAAGAACTGCTGTAGCTTACACAGTCACGTACGTACCTCAACTACACGTGACTGTAAGTGAATGGAAGAACAGGGCTCGCATCAAGCCGTTTCAGAACCTTTATATTTTCAGGTGTTAACATATTAACGTTGTACGTTTATTACTATTTTATATTCACATGTAAAAGTCATTAACGTTGTACGTTTATTACTATTTTCTATTTACGTGTAAAAGTCATTAACGTTGTACGTTTATTACTATTTTCTATTTACGTGTAAAAGTCATTAACGTTGTACGTTTATTACTATTTTCTATTTACGTGTAAAAGTCATTAACGTTGTAGGTAAATTCTACCTGCAAAAATACTCGTATTCTACACCTCAGAAAAATTTAAAGCTTTATAGAAAAAGTCATCAAGCGTTTGAATAACATTCCAACGGCCTCATAAAGATTAAATCTGTTTGTTTGTTTTTTTGCTAATATGTGACCACTTTACCTTTCTGTACGGACAGAACGTTCTCGAATTTAATTAGAGTCGCGCCACTTAGTGTCAGGAACATGAGAGAGCTGGAATGTACGTTTCCGCTCTAAATCTAAAGTACTGAAAACAAGACACGTGCTGAAAATAGGCCATTGAAATTTCACGTTTGTTAATAAGTACTTTGTAATTAGAAAGTAAACAAAGCATTCTCTACTAAAAGATTTTTTTAATGCACGTCGGTGATTTAACGCACATGCATTTTATATTTACGTGTAAAAGTCAGTAATAAACGTACAACGTTAATGACTTTTACACGTGAATAGAAGATAGTAATAAACGTACAACGTTAATGACTTTTACACGTGAATAGAAGATAGTAATAAACGTACAACGTTAATGACTTTTATGTATGCTATGAAATGATCGCATGTTCGTAAATATTAAAAAGCAAAATTTATTTCGAACAGTTTCCCAGCCCCGTCTGGTTAAATTTCTTGTACAAAATGTTTGCGAAAATATTTCAGAGGTTAAAGTTAAACTTCTGAAAGGTCCTAAATCTCACAACAACGAAATCAGAATGTTAAAATTTGTTGCTGTAAGAAAAATCACAAGAAGTTCATTTCAATCGTTGACAAGCAATATCCTGAACTTACTTAAGTTTACAACTCTCATGACGGCCAAATTGCGAGATTTTGTGTCCCGACCATATTTTTCAGTAAACCACAAAAACTCACGAAGAACAACTTTTAATGCAGTTTGGACTATACATGTTTCTTGAATTATTGTTTTTTAATGCTCAGTTCCCACCAAACAAACTACATGTCGCTCGAGAACCTTAATCGACTACCGTTCGTCATACTTCAAGCCAAACGTACATATACTGTTGTGAAGTTGCCTATAATAGTAAATTTGTGCTTTATTGAAAGTAAACTATAGCCATCTAATGAGACAGAACTTAGTTGTTTTCTATTTGAACATATCATAAAGTGAGATAGAATTGAATTTGAACAACACAGCTAGAAATATATATTCGTAGTCTTGAAAGTTAACTTCTTATGCACTAAGATGCAGCTTCGTTGTCTTGCATATGAACTTTCAAAATACAGCTTTGTTGTCTTGAAAATAATCTTCTCGTGCAACAAGATACAGTTTCGTTGTCTTGAAAGCTAACTTCTCAGGAAGGAAAACAGAGTTTATTTGTCTTGAAAGTAAACTTCTCATACAGCAAGATACGGTTTTGTTGTCTTGAAAATTAAGTTACCGTGCAGCAAGATACAACTTTTTTGTCTTGATAGAGAACTATCTAATGAAGCATAACTTCATTGTTGTAATCATGAATTACTCGACTAAACTGTGGTGTATGATGACCAATCTTATATGAAAGTTTACTCAGTAATGAGGAATTTCCAACATGAGGACTTGTGATTTACTAATGACCTTTTACTGTGCAGGCTCATCACATATTGATTACTTTCATTTATGTAGACTCATGCCCTATTGACCATTCTTCCGTACATACGGTCATGCTTGACCCTCTCTCACTTACAGGCCCATGATGACTTGTCAATATTTTATATGAATGTTCATGTTTCATTAACCATTGTCATATAGATTCACTTTGTACTGACCATTCTATTTTATCGATGCTAGTGCCCCATAGCCATTTCGTCTGCCATTTCACTAACTATTAGTTAGTTATCTTAAATATAAAGTTAACTTCTACTACTTATTAGTGAGAAATAGATAGGAAACTAATTGTCTGTCTTTCTGTATCTCTGTAATATATTCATAATTCTTTAAAAGAAAGGCCAAACGCAGCCCAGTGGTTAGCTTGCCGGACTTTAAATTCGAGTGTCCATGGTTTACGCCCCGCTATCACCCCCTAAAAAAAGATCGCGCTCCGTACTTTGAGGCCGTGGGTGCGTTTTAAGGGTAACGGGCAAATCCCATTATTTGATTACAGTAGCCCAAGAGTTGGCGGTGGATGGTGTTGACTAGCTGTCATCCCTCTAGTGTATCACTTCCAAATTAGTGTGAGCTATCGCAGACAGCCCTCGAATAGCTTTGCGCAAAATCCAAAGAACAACTATAATTTAAGTGGGAAACCATTCATTCGTAAAAAGTGTATTTCAAAACGTATTTAAGTCTTGTTTTATTTTCTTAAAAGGAAAATATTATATTAGGTTTCGAAGAATAAAAGTAATTTTTATTGGCTGTTGAGCTCTTTTAATTATACGCACTGTCATGTATTTGTTATAACTAACCTTCAGTAACTATCTTTCCTGCATAGTTAAGAAACTTTGTAATTACGTTTGTGTGTTGAATACTGTATTAGTATTCAATTACTATTTTTCTTAACCAACACTTTCAAAGGATTTTCACCAATTTAATTTCATTCCGCAGTATAAACAAGATGACTCAGTTTTGGGTTCGCCCAAAGAAACGCTGAAAAGTCTCATCGGAAACTAAACTAAACTAAAATATTTACGTTTGAATCAACAGGTTCAGAAGCTTATAACCAACTAGGAAAAGTTCAAACTTATTTCATCTTTTAGCAGCAAGTTAATTGAAGGATCTTGTACATAGTTGGATATATTGTTTTAATGTAAATGGATTCTCAAGCTTCTTTCACAAAAAGCTTTTTTTTTTCTCTGTTACTCTAAGCTGCCTGAAAATGATATTAAGAGAAAGGGTTATTTACACTAACATGACTAATGTCGATACTTTACCCTTTTTTGGTAGAATGCTACGAACAGTGTCTCCACGATTCTTGTTGTTAAGGTACTGGCCAGACCGATAGCGGGCGTACAGATCCAACATGTATCGAGGAGGTAAGGGAAGCCGACTGTCAGTCCGCTTCTGTTCCATTGCACGGATTTTTACACCTTGCTGAGAGAGCATCGTCTTCTTGATAAGAATTTCCGTTTTATTCTTACTTCCGGATGTCACGCTGTTGATTGGAATAGCCAGCAACTCCAAGATTAGCACCACACAGATCATAATAGTCTGATCCTTTCTACATAATTTTAAAGCTAACATAGCTTTTTACACTGTATTAAATACAATTTTCTGAACTACTTTTCGCTACAGTTGATTTCTAGAAGTATTTTTAATATTTTGAAATTATAAAATTTTTAAATACACGGCAACATTCGCTACAAACAGACGAGATGAATACTACTGTATAGTTTAGCCTGATACCAACGTCATTCAAGTGGGCAGCAAAAGCAAAAAAAAAATCTGTATGTAACTAAGCAACCACCAGCTTTGATGTGTAGAAGTTGTTTCCGAGCAACGTTGAGGGGCAGCTACTAGTAGTTAGAACACAGACAATAAAAAGACCACGCACTGCACGAGAATCAGCGACAACTAGCTGTTATGAATGAACGCTAGCTATACGAGGCTCATCCCTTTTGGCTATCCCGTTCCCCCTGTTCCAAATAGGATCCAGTAATTGAGCTCTTCTCGTAAATGTCACCACTCCCCTGTCAGTTTAGATTAAGTGGCACACTCACTATAAATTCTAAATTGTTATACTTTAAAATCTGATGTTATTGGAGACTCATATTAAGTTATGACCATTTAGTTCTTATTTCACATTCAATTTTGATTTTCTAATCTGGGGAAAATAACTTCTGTCAGTAGAGATCAAAGCTTGTTTATAAAAGACCAACATGAAGCGGAAATTGAGACGTTTTTAATACAGATTGTAGACCAAATCGTCAGTTTACAAACATTTCTCAGAAAAGACTATTGGAGACAGAAACAAAGCTTACAAAAGACACAAATGGTTTCAGAGTGTACGAATTATATATATGTATATATTTATAAAATTAGTACTTCAATTCTGGGCAAAATATGTTGTGCATCCTATTACTTGCAACAAATTCTTGAAAAAAATGCCATGTTCAATTTTTACGCTAAATTATCTTGCTACTAAAGTATTAATACAACGAAACCAAGAGCTTAGTCTCCACATGCAAAGTAGGAATGCAACCTACTTGGAATTGTGAATTTTAACAGAAATTGGTCTACACATCAGTACCTGTATTCATTAAAAGGAAACTAATGTGTGTTTACGAGTTTAATAGATACACCTCCTTAAAAGATCAAGTAAAACAAATGCCAAAATTTAACTTGCAACGACATTTACTCAGTCCTTTGAAACCCATCAGTACAACATTCACTCCATATTACGGTACTTTTTAACCATCAACACAAAGTTGACATTGTCTCACTGTACTTTGTAAACCCATCAGCACAACGCTCACAGTCGTTTGCAACCCATAAGGTAATGATCACTTCGTCTCAAAATATTTTGCAACTCAATAGCATGATTATCATTTTGTCCTGCGGTCCTTCTGGACCAATAGCACAATGACCATTTTGTCTCACAGTCCCTTGTAATTTCTCAGCATAAGGTCCACTATAAGTCCTTTTTGTTCATCAATACAATGATACTTTGTCTCACGGTTCTTTGTAATCGAACACCAAAACGTCCATTCTAATATATGTTTTTAACACTCTATGTTATGATTCTTTTAGCTCATTAACACACACACATGATGATAAGTTTGTTTGAAAGTACCTTGTAACCCGTCAGCACAACGTCTTAGATTTCTTCATAACCCAACAACAAAGTGTTCACTCTAGGTTATAGCCCTTTTCACCAATCAACACTAACCTCACAACAAAGTGTTCACTCTAGGTTATAGCCCCTTTTCATCAATTAACACTAACCTAACAACAAAGTGTCAACTCTAGGTTATAGCCATTTTTCATCAATCAACAATATGTTTAAATTGTCTGACAATCCCTTGTAACCCCTTAACACAACAACTACTTTATCTCACATATTGTATTACCTACCAGCATAACGTACACTCGATGTTATGGCCATTTTTAGCCTATTATACAATGACCACTTAGTCTAACGGTCTCTTGTAACCTATTGGTATAATATTCATTCTAAGTCATGGTCATTATACAATGACCACTTAGTCTAACGGTCTCTTGTAACCTATTGGTATAATATTCATTCTAAGTTATGGTCATTTTTAGGCAATCACCTCAACATACATTTTTTTCTCACAGTTCTTTGAAACCTATTAGAACAATAGCCTCTTTATGTAATGGTCCTTTTTAAATCATAATGTTCACTTTATGTTATAGTCCTTTCTAGTCCATCAACACAATGACCACTTTGTCTCACAGTCTTGCAACCTATAATTATAATGACCTTAGGAACTAAAATATTTTGCCCTACCTAAAGAATATAAAAATATTAGCATTCAGCTCTCTACAGTGCTAAATGTCTTTTTGAAAAGACATTCACACTTGTAGAGTTGATTACTTTTTCACACCTCTTTGCAACCTATCAGCAAAATACCCATTTTAAGTTAGGTACTTTTTAAACTATGTGCCACAGTCCTTTCTGACCCATTAACACAATACCTACTTTAGATTAGAATCATTTTTAGTCCACAACGGCTTACAACGGCTAGGGGTACCACTTATTGCCAGTCTCTTTCTTGATGGTTATGGAGATCCCATTTGATCCATTTTCGTTTTTTTAATTCCATTAAGTACAAGGGATACACTTATCTTGGAAATTATAAATCCATTATCTGAACACATATCTATGATCTAAGTGTATGAATATTTTGTGTCAGAAGGAAATATTTCATACCCTTTCAAAAAGCGATCAATTTTCAGTGGCATCAAACAATTTACAAACTACAAAATAATATCAAAATGTTATTCTGATACATTCCTTTCCACTGCGAATATATATCGGCTATAATTGTCACATGACTTACTGATTTCTCTATTTAAAATCGTTTTAATAAAATGTACTTTACCCTTTGTAATATATTATGGGTTATGTAACTGACACAGATCCCCACAGAATAATCAGAACTTCGAAGGAAATAGTAGGATAGATGCGGATGCTGAAGTTGTTGAAGTAAGGAGATGTAATTACAAAATACAAGATGGGAAATACAACACCAGTTCCTTTATTATGTGGTTACACATTTTGACCAAAATCGTATGCCATGACAACCACTGCAGTAAGACAAATTAAGATATAATCAGATACAAAAACTCCTTTATAAGGTCCATTGATCTATCAAAGTGGAGACTGAATGTGTTACTTCTCTATCAGCTGCTGGCGATAACATTATGAACATACATTATTGGGTATATTCCACCTAAGTTGATTTCCTAGGAGTTATTGAAGTAGCTCTATTAATCTGCTTCTGCAATAAAGCTAAAGCCCTACGAGTGCTTTCTACAATTTAATCACATGGGTCTTAATTCCCATGGCTGGAAACTAGAATAGAACAAACATTTCAAATACATGGATGTATATATTTGTATGAAATATGGATTATAAGAACGTGAAAAAAACCCCATTCTTTACTTGACAATGGTCCTTTGCTTGACCTTATTATGAACCTTACAAACAAATCAAAGTTTTAAATATTTAAATTTAGGCTTAGGCCGGTTAAATGTGCAAGCCTCATTGAACTCTTTTAAATAAATTGAACCAAGGGTAAAGGACCACACACTGAAAATCGTAAATAAAATCGAAACACGAGTAAAAACCTAAACAGAAGAAACTGACAGTTTAAAGCAGCCGGGTTTCAATGCCCATTGTGGGCAGTGCACAAATAGCCCTTTGTGTAGTTTTGCGCTTAACAACTATCAAACTAAATCATTCTCACCGATTCACAGCATAGTAACCAACAGCATCAACGATAATTGTTGCATAAAGCTCAATAATTTGATAAAAATAATAAAACATGTTAAAGTTCATTTTGAACCTGCTTGTTACAATAGAGCTTCAGAAGTTTTTGAAGGCTTCATTATGGCTTGGTTGTGTTGGGTTGCAACTCTCCAAAGAGCTATCGAGATTGGTCAAGTCCATGGTCTCTGTTAGGTGTGCGCTACAAAGTCTTTATAATGTTTACATTAAACTAGATATTTGGCTACCAGATAGTCAAATAAATTTTTGCATTCCTCTACTAGTTGGGACTTACTGGTAAAAGCAACAAGCTCGGTTTCTTTAATTGGAATTACAATGGTAGAAGCAAGTTGTCCCCCCTACTAATCAAGAGGAATTAAAGCAGCTCATATTCTGTTGGACTTATTTCCAAGGCTGATATCTGTTATCATTGGCACTAAAACATTAGGACTAGAGCTTGGCAGTCACGTTTTGCTTCAGTAGTAGTGTCACAGGCTAGTGAAACTTGGTTTCATGTTTTGTTTTGGCCTTTAACCCAGCAGGTTTTTCATACTGAAAGAATGTTTTTCCTTCTTTTGAGACAATTTTCCATTTAAACTGCAAATAAAATGGTTAGGAATGAAGTGGTCACTCATAATTCGAGTAGATCAGAAGAACATGTTCTAATTTATTATGAACTTAGTAAAAACGTATCAATTGTACATCAAAAACGTTAGCTACAATGTACAATTCCACACTAGAAACTTAAACTACATGATATATGCTTTCTTAGTGTTATTAAAATCAAGTAATATGAAATAAAATTTAAAACTCGTAAAGTGAAGTGCCCCTTTCCTTAAATTAAGTGATAAACTGTCGAATTATGCATAGAAGTAAAGTCAGTTGTTTTTACCTATGGATATTTATTTTATCCCCATAAAGTCTATGAGTGGTAACGCATTCATGTATTAACTTGATCTATAGATCAATCTATTTTTCTTCTCTCCACGTGAACACACAGACTTTATAATAATAATTCACAACTTCTTTACTAGGCAATGGTTAGTTAGCCATGTTGCAAACTGCTGACCCAATCTTCTGAGCCTTTAGGCTACATTTATGGTCCTATGTTTGAATTAAATCATAATATAAGAAATAGAAACGCTTCATGCACAACTCAGTTCACTATCTTATATTACAATTTGATAAGTCTAACATGAAACATATATTCTATGCATTTCAAAACCATCTGTCATTCGCAAAATCAAGTGTTACTACGCTGTTGTATGCTATTGCAGTATTTTCTCTTTCGCCATGCCAAGTGAAAATTATGCCAAAGTCTTCAAAATTAAAGTAACAATTAATCAATTGAAAAATGGAGAAACGTACACTTGGTTATGTCACGTTGTAAACATAGATTGTGCATACTTTTCCCACTTGGTTATGTTATGTTGTAAACATACATTGTGCCATACTTTTCCCACTTGGTTATGTTATGTTGTAAACATACATTGTGCCATTCTTTTCCCACTTGGTTATGTTATGTTGTAAACATACATTGTGCCATACTTTTC